AACTTCCTTAGACGCCTAAACCGGCAGGCACGATAACTGGGGCGGGCGGTTGCTGCCAAAGTTATTGAGTGGTCGTAGCGGGGTGTGGCCAAACGCACTCTCGCATCCATTCCACCAATGATATTGGCGGTAACCATCCGCCCTTAGCATTCGTGCCGCTCGTTGGCGGTAACCACCCGCCCCTAGCATTCCTGCCGCTCGTCTTTATGAGAGGGCATTCAAAGGACTATTTGTGTAAAACGAAATCATTGTGATAAGAATGGGATGACTGCAGTTGACATTGGTCCACCTGCTGAGAAGATCCTTCCCTTTCAGGTTCGAGCAAAGTTTTCATTTATGTTGCGGTAACGCTTGCAAGGTGCCCTTTGACCCCCCCCCCAAGTTTGTTATCATCGCGTACTGCATTTCATTTTTAAAATGATCGTGGAATTCAGGTGTCACTCTCAGTACGTAGCGTCTTTATCGGATGTTTGGCCGTTTCCGATATGTTAATGTCACTCACTTCACTTCCGTGGACGGCGGTTACTATATTCACCAGAGAATGGATATTTCCAGCGCCGATATGTAAATTGATTGGAGTATTCCAGGTATGTCTTAATAAGTACATAATCTGCAGATTATCAGCAACCTATTCTCTGGTACTTGTTACTGCGCGCTATTTCTTCTTAGTACCATCTAGTGAGAAGTAGTCCATACTCATTTAAGATCGGGCGCGATGTCGGCGGAAGAATCTGCGTTTTCGCGGCTCAGGGGTGGGAGGGAAGGGGCGGGGGAGATGGAGCGTTTGCACTTTCCAGTCAGGGTACAGCAACTAGGGAGGGTCGCAGTTTTCCGCTGGGGAGGGGGGTCGCATGTGGCTTTGAGAGAACTTCGCCGCGTTGGGAAAAATTTTTTTTCGCTGGGATATTCTCGTCACGCGCGGTATTCCCAAACTAGGTCACTCAACAACTGTGGCAATTTTGTGTCGTGTGAGCTAGATTATGGTGCAAATAGAGCGCGAGCGATGTCGCTGGCGATGACTCTTGCGCCACACTATCGCGGCTCGGATCTGCTGACCGCTCCTTGCTCACTGCGAAAACTATCGCTAGGCACTTTTTTCACATCGAAAGAAGTTGCCAGCCTACAGTTTCTACAGTGAAAGCGCGGCTAGAGACCGTTCCTAACAGAATAAGTTTTAAGAAAATGAATAACAGCAGATTTTCTGGCTGCGCTCCGTTTTCGGGTGCAATTTTGCAGAGATGGAGCAGTGTTTCCCTCGAATGAAAACTCGAAGTTGTTTTCGTATGGCTTCCGGCTGAATCCTCTAGTAGAAAGTGACTGCTTACCAGTCGCGAGGTCCAAGCAGGACCGAAATCCATTCTCACCCACGTCAATCAATCACCCACTCCAACTAACAATTCCACCTTATTCTGCCGAGGGCACTGCGTGCAGATGCAAACACTGGCTTGCACTTACATTAGAATAGCCTCGGCCACCCATTGTACAGGCTCAATCAACTTGGAAATGCCGCTATCCTTTGCTTCCTTTTGAAAAAAGCAAGGATCTTTGATGTTCTTTGAAAGCAATGTCCGCCAGTCAATCTGACAAGTCATCTCTTCTTTCCTTCCATTTCTGAAAAAAGTTCTTTGCCTATCGCTGTTCTTGTTGATGATATGCCAGTGCTGGCAAGAGGAAAGAAACATTGTTCTGAGCCAAAATCTGTGAACGGGCGTGATTTATCGATGGATGTCATTAAAAATGAAAGGGTTTTTAAGATGAACTGTCAGTGAAATAAACGAAGGATATCGTTTGTCAAAAGTACAACGACAAAAAAGTGCATGTCAGCAATGCAGAATGCAATGAATGCAACGGTCGTAAAGGGGCTGATAAATGGCGGCTTTCGATAAGGGGTATTCTTTCCTATTCACAGCCATAATCCCCGCTGGATTGGAGCGCTGCCAAAGCGGCCCTCCCATCATTGTTGTCATGAAGTGACGAGTTGTAACGTTTAAAATGTTGAACGAAGTGGAAAACTCGTTCTTACATGCACGATACAGCTACACTTACCCCATACAATCCACGCCCACTACAGGCAAACTCCGCCAACTTTTACAGGATTTACGATTTTTTTCAAAAAAAAGATTTCGACGCTTTCAGCCTTTTTTACACATCTTAGATGTTTGGTCACTTCAAAAGAGTTGCACTTGATTCCAGGGAAATATTTTCTAATTGCTCATTTTCTGTTTTAGCCTTTCCACACCCCGTATACTAGATATTGGGGCGGGGAGGGTGTGGAAGTATACATCATTTGCACATGGTGGCGGCACGCTTTTCAGAGGATTTTGCACCTTGTGACGACTAGTCATCTCTTCGTCCGGTGCAAAAAGAATAACAGTTCTCTCAAATAGAAATGTGCCACAAAAAAACGAGCCCCATGCCATGTTCAACGGAAGTACGCAATCAAGCCACACCCCATCAAAAAAATGGGGTTCATGTACCAAATCGCTACATACTGTTAGCTGAGTTTTACAATT